CATTTTCTTTATATACCTCATGTCCTATCACTTTCTACAATGTGTAATTGTTATTTATGTAAATATCTTATATTCTCTGATAGGTGATTATTACCTAAAGGCCAGAGACTCCACCTTGTCATAAACGAGGACCTTGTGGAGCCTAGTAAGAGGGACCTTTACCTACCAACATCACTGGTCAATTTGACTTGGCCCTTGATCAGGGCGTACTATGACACACCTCAAGAGCACAATGTTCCAAAACTAAAATGCTAGAGACAGGCCAAGGCAAGCTACTGAGAGACCTGACTTGTTCCTGCCTTCAGAAAGTTGCAGTGCAGGTTTCCATAAATAAGTACTGCTGCTCGGCAAAGTTGTTCACTTGTTTATTCGTTAATTTGTAAACCACTTTGTGGAAAATAAAGAGGATGTGTCTATGGCAGTTACTCTATACCAGGGGTTTTCACATGCTGTATCTCTAAATCACCATAACATTATGAGATGAGCATCATTATTCTAAATTGACAAATGAGGAAAACAAGGCTCAGAATGCTCTAGTGGCTCATTCGATAGCATGGAGCTGGTGAGTGACAGAACAAGGATTTGAAAACAGGTATGTGAGACTCTTAAGCACAAGCTCTTTTCCACCTCATCCTGCAATATAAATATACTCAGAAGGTTTCTTGAGAAATGACTGGAGAAACCCTTGAACCTAGGGGAAGCATAACCTGCCAGGATTAGGGGTCAGGCTTGTATTGAGGAAGTCCTTGAGGAACACAGATACACTTGCCAAGTTCTATCTTGAGCACCAGGGAAACACTTGCTTCCCAGTAGACTTAGGGGTTAGGGAGTGTTTCCAGAAAGGCTAGAGGAAAGATGATAGTTATGGTTGTGGGAAAAGGGAACGGAAGCTACAGGATTTGTAGCTGGGAATCAGAAACATTAAGACAGACTAGAAATCAAGTGAAACACTCTAGTGGGACGCATATCGGAGGGGACACATTTGGATCTTAAGTACAGTGTGTGCATGGCCCTAGACGTGCTTGGTTTAGTTCCACTAACATTTAAAGTGTGCTGGGTAGCCCTAAGCAGTCTTGCTCAGTGATTGGAGCATTAGCCCTCTGACTGGAGGATCTCAGGTTCGATTCCCAGGCAAGGGCACGTACCTCTGCTGCAGGCTCGATCCTGGCCCTGGTTGGGGCAAGTGCAGGAGGCAGCCAATCAATGTGTCTCTCTCACATCGGTATTTCTCTCTCCCCCACTCTCTCTGAAAAGCAATGGAAAAAATATCCTTGTGTGAGGATAAAACATAAATAAATAAATAATAAATAAATAAATAAGTGACGTGTGCTAGGCACCAGAACAGGTGCTAAGTACACAAGGAAACAAATGGTTCCTGTCTTTGAGAGACTAACAACCTGGCATGGGGCAGACTACTGATAAAAACAGGGTGCCAGGGAAGAGTCTTTTCTAGAAGCTTACTGAAAACCAGGAGTGATTCCATCCCCAGAAGTAGGATAGAAGGGAAACTGTAGGTTATCAACACCGGGCAGGCCAAAGGTTCTCTGTTTACCTAACACTGGCCTTGATCATCAGTAGTCTTGTCCACCTACTACCTACATATGAGTGGCAAAATGCATGCCACCCACTGCTTAGGCCCTTCCCTAAGACGAATAATTAAAGTAAACTTAAATATGGCTTTGCATAGGCAGTGAGTGAATTAGGGCTTTTACTGCCTTTATTTCAGTGCTTAGAACAAAGATTAAAACGTCTATCTTTACTTCCAGTATTCCAATCGACAGCTTGGAGACCTAACAGTGTGCCTGGCATTTAGTGAACAATCAATAAATTGTTGACTAAATGAACAAAGCAGTTATGGGCCAAACACTGTGTGAAGTGCTATGGGATATACAGAGGAATACCTTTAAAGATGTAAACATTTATGAGGAGAAATTGACACACGAACTAATGAGCAAACAAGGTGAGACATGAGTGAGTCAGTCAAAAGTGAGATCAGCATGGTCCAGAGTAGACAGCACCTGTCATGAGACTGAAGAGGAGCACTCATCACCACCTGTATTCCAGTTCTGCAACACACTAGCTCCTGCAGAACATTTCTCCCTTATATGCCTTCTTTTTCTCACTTTTAAAATGAGGAAACTGTTTTAGGTGATCTCTGAAGGCCTTCCCAACTCTTAATTTTTATATTTCTATTCATAGATGGGGAAAGCCTTTATATATATATTAAAATATATTTTAATATTTTATTTATATTCTAGTATATATTAAAAATGTATGTCAAGTAAATATGACATATTTAATCCATATTGTTTAAATAACAAAGCAATATCAAAAAATTACACTGAAAAGTCCTGTTCCCATCATTGTCCCCATGGGCTTAACTATGTGTTACCACTTTTATTAGGATCCTTCAAAGGTTTCCTTATACAAATATAAGCAGATACACAAGTCTCTTCTCTCCTTGTTCAAAGCACACTATATACACTTTCTGCACCTCCCCAGTAATGATGTAAGTTGACATTAAGCTGATATTTCCACCAGTGATTAGATCCTTATTCTCCGTGGTGCGTTTCATTCGTGGGCATTTTGTGCTATGTTTGTGTCCTCTCCAAATTTGTATGTTGAAACCTAGTTCCCAATGCGCTGGTATTTGGAGGCGTTTAGGTCATGAAGGTAGATTAGTGCCCTTACTGAGGCTTTACAGTCTAACATCTAGCAGATGCTAGTTCCCCCTTTCCCCTTACCGTTCTTCTTTGCCAGGGTTTTCTGGCCATTTTTGCTCATTTATTTTTCCCAAATGAGCATTAGCATCAACGTGGCTAGCTCCCCTCTCTCATTTCCTTTGCTCTCCAAAAATCCTTGTATTTTTGACATGTTAAGTAAACAACATTTTTATGATGTTGAATTTCTTAGCCAAGTACAAGGTATGGTATGGTTTTTATTTGTTCCTAATTTTGTGACTTTCAAAACTGTTTTAAAATTTGAAGGTAGAATTTGAATTTGTTCACGTTTGATAGATTTGGAGAGACAGAAGATTGGTGTGAATACATTTCTTGGAGGGAGAATAATCTATGAGGTGGGTATAACCATTGATACTCTTGGGCAGTAAAGAAACTAACTTGGTAAGAAGAGAAAAAAGCTACAGTGTCTTTTAGTCAGGAACTAGGCCAGGTGTTTCAAATACTATCATCCTTGACTGCAGGGCTGCCCGAACCTAGGGCTGGACAGGGCCAGGTCAAGGATGAGCCTAGATGTCTACCTAGGTACCTTACAGGACATGCACAGAAGGGTTTCAAGATGATTGGGGAAGATCACAGCAATAGTCAGGCAGGATAGTCTTGGGGCAGGGAGGAAAGGTTAAATTCAAAAAGGGCAGCAAGACTTAGTAATCTGAAAGAAAAGTGATAAAGACTTGACGTTGGAGTACTTGTTTGTGGAGATAAAACTATAAACACAATTTTTCCAGAGAGGACAAGCAATTTGGACTAAAGAATGAAGAAAATTTGGTTTTGCAGACTCTGCTGCTGCTATTACTCAGCCAAGGTCAACCTGTTCTTGGACACATTGCCCTCTGTAGCAAGCCCTTGGTCATGCCTGCTTCTAGCTGTTAACAAAGCTCCCAACAGCCAGAAAACTTTCATGCTCTGAACACTG